AAAACAGTTCAAAAATAGAATTGCCCTGTGATTGTTGACTTATTGAAGAAGGAACCACGAAAAAGCGCCCGCAATAAGACCCTCTTTATTGCAATTGATCATGATCACCGGACGAGCGTAAGGTGGTCAAGATCAATTGTGGATTGCAAAAGGCGGCGATACACTGATAAGAGACGAGAGAGGCCAGAAAATGACGGGCGAGAGAGCGCAATGGCAATGTCACAACGACACGGTCACCGGAGGCCGGCATGGGCCTATCGGGCGCCAATGGGCCTAAAACATGAGCGCCGTGCGTTCTGCTTGCTGTTTTTCAACTTTTAAAAGCAGCATATCCTCTACTGTTGCCTGCTTGATCATCATGCACGTTTATGAGGTTCTAGCCTTAGTTTATCGCGGAACGTGCCTTTAAGCCCTTCTTCAGGCCTACAATATATACAATATAATATCTACCGATCACACTTAGGCATCACTTCTAGCTAAATTGAACAAGAAACTATTGGCGATACGAAATATGCGACTAACCGAATAGCAAAGCAAGTGGTTTTGGTCCAGGGAACGGGTTCTTCCCGGGAGCCACGTGAATCACTGCAAGTACTATTGGATGGACGCGGGAGGGGGAAGGGGGAAGGCATATGGCGAGGACTCACCTATCTAGCTGTCCACTCTTGCAGAAATGAAGCAGCTAGATCGGTGGTGGGGAGGGTAAGAGTGATGTCGTCTGATATCCTCCAAGTCACCATATGTCACGTAATGGTCATTCAGTCACATCCTATAGTGCAGTGATGATCTCCACACTTGCTCGCAGTTCCTCCCTGTTGTTGATTGGAGGGCGCCTTCGTCGTATTTCCAATGCCTCTTTTATCTTCCTTTCCACCGGGTCGCAAACGTTCTTGTGAAGGACGCGGACCTTTATCTGGGGCGTGCTCTCGTGCCGTGGAGCGGTGTCGCGAGAAAGGGTTCTCCGGATAACTGTTAGGGTTCCGGAAAGCCCTCAGATGTTCGTCCAGCCTTCTGTAAAGAGGGTAACCCGAGTTAGTCCTCGCCATATGCCTTCCCCCTTCCCCCTCCCGCGTCCATCCAATAGTACTTGCAGTGATTCACGTGGCTCCCGGGAAGAACCCGTTCCCTGGACCAAAACCACTTGCCTTGCTATTCGGTTAGTCGCATATTTCGTATCGCCAATAGTTTCTTGTTCACTTTAGCTAGAAGTGATGCCTAAGTGTGATCGGTAGATATTATCCTACTATATATAATCCGCTAAGTGTGTCTGTGTGTGTGTGTGTGTGTGTGTGTGTGTGTGTGTCACGAAATTCATAACACCTGTCCCAGTAGCAGAGAAGCGTTGATTCCAGGAAGTGATGAGGGGGTGTGACGGGAACACCATTGGTGGGTGACAGGATGTGATATCAGTTGATAAGATTCGATAAGAGGCGTTAGAAGGGGAGGTCACCATATTCATAACGCGGGTGACAGCATCAGCTAGCTCTTGATTCCGAGATATGATATAGGGTATGGGCCAAGAACTTTATTGGTGGGTGACAGGAAGTGATATCAGCTGATAAGATTCGATAAGAGGCGTTAGAAGGGGAGGTCACCATATTCATAACGCGGGTGACAGCATCAGCTAGCTCTTGATTCCGAAGATATGATATAGGGTATGGGCCAAGAACATTATTGGTGGGTGACAGGAAGTGATATCAGCTGATAAGATTCGATAAGGGGCATTAGAAAGGTGAGGTTATCGTATTCATAGCGCAGGTCACAGCATCGGCGAGGCATGCGTTTCAGCAAGTGATATAGAGGGTGAGATGGGGACATCAACCGTGGGTGACTGGAAGCGATAACTACTGATAGGGGCTGATAAGAGAAATTGCAGTCGTCGTCGCTGTTCGAGGTGATTCACGCTACCAATTCTTAGAGATTTGGCGATGAGGACATTGATGACGGGTGACAGGTAATCTTATCAATCGATAAAAACGGATAAGATACCATCAGCGCACATGGGGGGGGTATGTAGTGCGCCTGAAACGGGAAAATCGAGAAATTCAGTTATCAAAAAAGAATTCGCAAGTCTTTCTGCTATGTGATGTTGTGATGTGTTAGGTGTTAGCGGTTGCAACTGGAGCAAAATAAGCAGTGTACCCAACAATTAGGCGTGGGGACCTCCTGTCGGCACGCACATGTACAAGCAATGTGAAGTTCTTCTTTTCAGTGCCACTCATGAACCTACAGTTATGCCTCTTCCGGTTGTTATGGGCTCATGCGGACTAATCGGGCAAATTACTAATTACTAATTTTACCCATTTCCGATCGCAGCTGCGGTCTTTAGTGATTGGTGCAGCCTTCTCACGGCTGAAAGTCTTTAGTAAGCATAAGTAACCAAATGTTGGTAGATAGTGACTGATGTTGAAGCTTTTTCAACTCAATTTTCTGGAGTTTAATAAAAAATGACTGCCACCGTTTGGCACATTTAGCGCATTCTAAATCGCCCAAGGGAAAGGTGCCTGGCGAAGCCAGGCCAGCTCGGCGAAGCCGAGCTATAGAGAAGGAGGAGAGCTCGGCGTCAGCCGGGCGATCCGACTGGTATTGTATATATTGTGGGCCTGAAAAAGGGCTCAAGGCCCGAAACGTTGCGAAATAAATATCTTGAAGAGTTTCATTCAACAAGAAAACACAGAAGATACTAAACCATGAAACTCAGGAATCCTATGATACTATCTAATCAAAGAACTGTTCAATCACAGGGAATGAATGACATTTGCGTTTTTGTCCTCTGAAGATTCAGGTCGAAGAAGAAAAAACCTCTCGTTTTTTTCTCGTCAAACAGAGATGATCAGCAGTAAATTAAGGTAGGTCTGATGCCTCAAGCTTCCAATGGGATTCTAGAGCCGCAAGTGCAAAACACGACCATTTGTACAAAATACCGTTTTTCAAGGAAAGATGAGGGAGTCTACGAGAAGGACCACTGTGAGTTCGAGGCTCAAAATTCTTTCATTTTCCTTCTCTTATCAAAAAACAGTTGGAGGGCGAGTCGACATTGACAGCAGTTCGGAAGAGGACGAGTGGAAGCATTGGCGAAAAGGAACGAAACATTTCGACAAGCATTTCCATCGGCACAAGCGACAAACGGCAAGCAACGCGGGGCAAGCTATCATCGGTAAGCTAAATGCGCGTATAACTTCCTGGTTGTCAAAAAACACTGTCTACAGCAGTACTCAACTTACCTCTTCTTGGCCTTTTTCGTTTTATGTTGCTCATATCCACATGGGGTTCAGGAGTTGAATTTTAGCGAAATAAAAATAAAGCCACATTTCAAAATTATCTGAAAGGTGCTACCCATCCCATGTCTAAGGTGGGCAGGTCCAAAGTTGCAGAGAATGGGTCATTTCCGCCGCTCGAGGATGAGCGGGAAGGACATCACAGGCCAGCAATTTGGGGTTGTCTACGCCCCTTTGAGCAGAAGAAAATCATTCAAAGTGTCGTGCTGTATGCAGGGTACAGCATCGTTGTGTGAAACACATAGGGGGTCGTACTTTTGCTCTGGGGAGGGGGTCGTATTAATTTTTGTTTTATATGCATTATATGCACTTTGTACGCCGTGGGATATACGTTGCATAGTATAATATACCCCCCCCCCCCCCCCCCCCCCCCCCCCCGCTCGACAACTTTTTCGCCGACTATATACTCATGGCTCGGCGACTGGCGAAGAAGGTGTCGAAGGGTGGGGGGGGGTCGTACCCCACGCGAAAAAATAGGGGGGGGTCGTGGCCTGTACCCCATCAGGAGGGGGGGGGTCGTACCCCACGCGGAAAAAATAGGGGGGGG